CCAATAAACAAAACGGCGTCGACCGATCAGCCTCCAACGCAAAACTACGACCGATTCCCGGTCGATCGATCGGCCAACCAGCCCCCCTACCGTTCGGCACCCCCTGTCCCTGTTTTTCCACGCAGCGAAATAAGCGGAAGGACAACTTCCGGGATCGGCAGGACAACAACAAGAAGGGCAACCACAAGGGGAATCGGCCGGACGAAATCTTCACTTTGCTCAATACTACCTACGAGCATGTTCTCCTGACCGAAGGGGATATGATACCGAAGCCGAACAATCGAAAACTCCCCCGCCAGAGCGAAAGAGACACCGGTGTCTTCTGTCGATACCACCAGTACAACGGCCACGATACGGAATCATGCATCGCGCTTCGCAAAATTATTGAACGCCTCATCAATGACGGAAAGCTGGATCAGTATTTAAACACCAAGCCAGCACCGGATAAATCATTGAATCGGCAGATCAATATGATCAGTGGAGGAGCGCCCATTGCCGAAGCCAGCAACAGATCCGTAAAAAACTACGTTCGTGCCGTTCGGCATCCCCAGATCCTCAGCATGGCGGGAGGACGCAATGACAAAATTCAACGAAACGGTTGGGAACCAATCACCTTTTCTGAGGAAGAGGAGCGAGGCATCATTTTCCCCCACTCCGACCCGATGATCATACGGGTCGATATCTCAGATTTCGACGTAGGCCGAATCCTCATAGACACCGGCAGTTCGGTCAATGTGCTATTCGCCGACGCACGGTAGTGTCCAGCTCCCATTCGCCGTCGGAACCATCCCCAGACGAACGGTCCTCTACACTCATTTTCTGGTGGTCGACTGCCCAACGGCATACAACGCTATCATCGGCAGGACGGCGCTCACAAAAATGAAGGCCATGCTGTCACCACACATGCTCCTCCTCAAGTTCCCCACACACGCTGGCGTCGGCCAAGTGCGAGGGGACCAATTGAGTGCACGGACGTGTTACGTTTCGGCAACCAAGGAATCGGCAAGGGCTGCGCTTCGCGAAACATACTCGGTCGCCACCAGCTTGGGCGTACCGAACGGCAGGGGGACGGACAAACCAGATGACCCCCGAGATGAGACTGTAACCCCGCAAGCGCAACCCGCCGAAGATTTAGAACCAGTCACCCTCTCCGAAGCACAACCGGACAGACAAGTTCGAATCGGTACAACCTTGAGTCCGGCACTGAGGGCCGATTTTATCACCTTCCTGCGCACCAATGCAGAAGTCTTTGCATGGTCATACGACGATATGCCCGGTATCGCCCCGAGCGTCATCAGTCACAAGCTCAGCATCTGCCCCACTTTCAAACCCATCAGGCAGAAACGGCGGGCCTACGATGCCGAACGGTATGAAGCAATGAGGCTCGAAGTAGACAAACTGAAGACCATTGGCTTCATCCAGGAAGTAACCTACCCAATTTGGCTGGCAAATTCGGTTTTAGTCAAAAAATCAAACGGCGCCTGGAGAATGTGTCAAGACTATACCGATTTAAACAAGGCTTGCCCAAAGGACAGCTTTCCTCTGCCACGGATCGATCAGATGGTGGATGCCACAGCAGGCCATGAACTTCTCAGCTTCATGGATGCATACTCAGGCTACAACCAAATATTCATGAGCCCTACCGATCGCGAACACACGGCATTCATCACCGACAAGGGACTTTACTGCTACAAAGTCATGCCGTTCGGCCTGAAGAACGCCGGGGCAACATACCAGCGATTGGTCAACAAAATTTTTTCCGACCTCATTGGCACCTCGATGGAAGTCTACGTGGACGACATGCTGGTCAAAAGCAGAACGGCCGATTCTCATCTCCACAACCTCTCGCTCATGTTCGGCGTCTTGAAAAAGTACAAAATGCGCCTCAACCCGAGCAAGTGCGCCTTCGGCGTTGCCTCGGGCAAATTTCTCGGCTTCATGATCAGCCAACGAGGAATCGAGGCCAACCCTGAAAAAATCAAGGCATTACTCGACATGCAAGTCCCAAAGACACAGAAGGATATTCAGAGTCTAACTGGGCGTGTCGCCGCTCTGGCCCGGTTCATCTCCAAGGCTACCGATCGGTGCGCTCCATTCTTCAAGGCCCTCAAAGGAAACAAACGACAGATTGTCTGGACTACCGAATGCGATCGCGCCTTCCAAGATCTCAAGGCCTACATGAGCAGGGCACCCCTATTATCCACTCCTCTTCCCGGCGAAGAACTCATCCTCTACCTTTTCCCTCAAAGGAAGCAAACGGCAGATTGTCTGGACTGCCGAATGCGATCGCGCCTTCCAAGATCTTAAGGCCTACATGAGCAGAGCACCCCTATTATCCACTCCTCTCCCCGGCGAAGAACTCATCCTCTACCTCTCGGTTTCGGCAACGGCACTTAGCTCTGTGCTCATTCGCAAGCCGAACGGCATCGAACTCCCCATTTTCTACATTAGCCATGCTTTGCAAGACGCTGAGATTCGGTACCCCGAGCTCGAAAAACTCGCCTACGCTCTCGTCCTTTCAGCACGCAAGCTTCGGCCATACTTTCAGGCTCACAGCGTTACCGTCCTCACCAATCAGCCTCTGCGCCAGATACTCCAGAGACCGGAGACATCCGGTCGGCTAGTCAAATGGGCCATCGAGCTCGGCGAATTCGACATCCGCTACCACCCTCGTCCTGCCGAGAAGGGACAGGCTGTAGCCGATTTCATCTCTGAGTTAACCGCGTCCGAGGGGCCAGTTTCGAAGGACGCCGCATCCGATTCATCTTCGACGGTACCAGTCGCCCACCCGACCGAAGGAATCTTTAATCCGTCGATTCCCCTTTGGACTCTCTACGTGGACGGTTCGTCCAACCGACAGGGCAGCGAAGCCGGCTTGGTACTCAAGGCCCCTGACCAGACAACCATCGAATATGCCATCAGATTCCAATTCCGAACTTCCAACAACGAAGCCGAATATGAAGCTTTGTTGGCGGGCCTTCGGCTCGCCAAAGAAATGGGCGCTCAGCAACTGAGGATCTGTAGCGACTCACAACTTGTCGTCAACCAGATACTGACTGAATTTGAAGCCAAGGACACTTCGATGGTTGCCTACTTGACACACGCTCGCCGTTTGCTACACCACTTTACTGCGTACCAAGTTCAACAGATCCCCAGATCCGAGAACAGCCACGCCGATGCTCTATCACGTCTTGCATCGGCGATCGACGACAACATAGGGCGCCATGTGCCGATCGAGGTCCTCACTCGTCGCAGTACCACCGACCTCGAAGTACACGCCGTTCGGCAGGATCCAAGTTGGATGGACCCTATCCACGCCTACCTCGCCAACGGCACGCTGCCTGACAACAAATCTGACGCAACGACTATCCGCCGCCGATCGGCACGGTACCTCCTTCTGAATCAGATTCTCTATCAGCGCCGTTTGCTACACCACTTTACTGCGTACCAAGTTCAACAGATCCCCAGATCCGAGAACAGCCACGCCGATGCTCTATCACGTCTTGCATCGGCGATCGACGACAACATAGGGCGCCATGTGCCGATCGAGGTCCTCACTCGTCGCAGTACCACCGACCTCGAAGTACACGCCGTTCGGCAGGATCCAAGTTGGATGGACCCTATCCACGCCTACCTCGCCAACGGCATTGCCCAATGGGGTTTAGATCTCATCGGCCCTATGCCCCAGGGAAAGGGACAGGTCAAATTCGCCATCGTCGCCGTCGACTACTTTACCAAATGGACCGAAGCCGAAGCTTTGGCAACAATCACTGCAGCCAGGGTTGAACATTTCGTATGGAAGAATATTATTTGTCGATTCGGCCTCCCGAACGCAATAATCACCGACAACGGAAAGCAATTCGACTCCTCACAGTTCCGGCACCTATGCCACCGATTTGGCATCAACCTGTTCTTCGCCTCCCCAGCGCATCCACAGTCGAACTGCCAAGTCGAAGCCATCAACAAGATCATCACGAAGACGCTGAAGAAAAAGCTTGGGACGGCTAAAGGAGCATGGCCCGACCTCCTTCCGGAAGCACTATGGGCCATCAATACCTCCTACCGACGGTCGACTGGCGAGACGCCATTTTCCCTTGCCTTTGGTTCCGAAGCTGTTGTTCCAGTCGAGATCAACGCACCCTCGTGCCGAACGGCATCTTACGAGCCGGAGCAAAACGAAGCCCAGCTCACTCTCAACCTGGACCTCATTGAGGAACACCGTTCCCAGGCTCAGCTTCGGAATGCTGCCTACAAACAACGGACTTCCCGCTACTACGACTCGCGCGTCAGACGCCGATCGTTTAAGGTGGGGGACTGGGTACTACGTAAAATCTCCCTCGCCACCAAGGACTCCAACGAAGGCACCCTTGGTCCATCTTGGGAAGGTCCTTACGAGGTTGTCACCATCTGCCGCCCAGGAACATACCGTTTGCGCGGTACCGATGGTCAAACCCTCGGCCACCCTTGGAATGTAGCACATCTCAAATATTACTATAAGTGAGAACGCCCCCTCAGTCACCACCTTTGTACACAAAGGTCGTACTTTCGGTCGTCACCTTTTGTAACCGGTTTATTTTAGAACTCCCTATTCTATACATACGGCATTACCATCCAGCAATATTATTTCGAAGATATTCTACATACGGCATGCACACATACAGAATTAAGAGACAGCGCACATTAAACCGAAACAAACTTAACACTGATAAATAAAAGGCCACAGAAGGGCCATCTGTCTTTACAATATGCCATTCGGCACGCTCAAAAAAAAAATCTACGAGGTGGGTGGATCGGCTTCGGTCGCTACAACATCAGCATCAGCTGACGCAGGCACAGGATCAGACGACGGCTCGGCAGTAGACGCAGTGGCAGCCCCCGGCCCGGGGTGACCCTCTTCCTCTCCACTGCTTGAATCGGTGTCGTCGGTTTCCTCGGGCTCGGCATCCTCACCCTTGTACGCCTCCACCATCTCTTCGGTCACCCCTTCCGGTAGTGGCGGCGGATCCCGGAGAAAGTTCAGGTTCAGCTTCTTCTCTGCATTGTACCGCTTGAATCGGTAGACAAAGTCGTCACATTGCTCCATGACTTCTTTGTCTACCAGAAGCGTGAACTCCTCCGACGCTCGGTAGTCATCTACGGCTTTCGCCTTCGCCTCCTCTACCTCCTTGCCATGCGACCGTTCGGCCGCATCCATAGCCACCTCCACCGCTGCCTTCGCCTCCTGCGCCGCCACCAAATCCAACTCCGTTGCTGCCAATTTCGATGTCAGCTCCGCTATCTTCGCAGCATTTTCCTCAGCACGCCGGTCGGCCTCCTGAATGAGCTTTCCGGCTTCAGCGATCTTCGAACGGCCCTCTTCAAACTTCTTTTGGTACCGTTCGGCAGCATTGATGGCTCGCTTCACGCAGAGCCACATCTCCATATCAGCCTGATAACACATACAAAGTTAGTATGCCGAACGC